GGAAAATTTCACATCAATATTAAACACACTAAATTTAGTCAATGTTGTAGTTTGCACCTTTGTTTAAAATTCATGACTAGAAATAAACTACATGAAAAATGAGCTACAACAAAATATGTACCGTGAAAAACCACATCCAAATTAGTCTTTCAAAATAATTTCACTCAAACCACCGACAACAAACAGAAAAATAAAACTATAAGTTAACATCAAAAAGATTGGATCTTTCGATTAAAATCAAAAAAGTGTTCAGTTAGTCACTTCTTCTTATCTTAATAGCTCTATGAAAAGTAATAATCATACTACTAGTATTAAAATATGTACAAGTATCAATATATAAATTCGTGCTAATTTAAAATATCCTGGACCAAAACGTGATTAAAACTTTAAAAAAGGTTACTTGGATATTGTTATTATCAGATGTTGTCATAGATATAGCTGCAAAACACATATTATGCGACGGAGTAGAAGAAATGCGATCCATAAATTGTTTGACAATACCAATCTATAACTAAGCGACTTCAACGATCTCAGATTTCAAACTGATAGATTGTACTGTGCAAATTACTTTTAGCAAATTAAAAAGAATATTAAGAACTGAGTATAGCAAATCAAAATTATTGATCATTTATCGGGAAACTTTAAAAGGAATTATTTCTACTGAATAAGTCAATTTCTCGAAGATATTCATAATTGGCACATCAACTGGGTAGAGAATTACCATAAATAATCGGAAACTTCCAAGAATACTTATGATCTTTCAAATGTTCAATATAAAAACACGTAAGCATGACAAAAAATCCAATGACTGCATCGCTGTCATTTAATTTCATTTGGAAATCATACCTTTCCACCTATTCTATCCGGAATTTTCATTGCCTTCTGTAATTCTTCTGGGGGATGGATGACTCCATGTATTGCTTGTTCTTCTTGAGCTTTCTGTTGCGCAGCTTCTTCCGCATTACGGACCTCTTTTTCAATCTAAAACTGCTCTATTGTCAAAATAGTACACAGCAAAACAATCATATGATTGACTCCCAGTTTCGAAGATTTGAAAAGTTTTCCTACCCATGGCTTATTTCGACCATGTTTATAATTGAACCTAGATTTTAATATTTATATTTGATGCATGGGAAAAATATTTCCGTCATAAAAATGTATGCTTGAGCTTAAATTTAATTAGATTAATTAAACTTATCTCAACAAAACAAAACAGTGAAATTCAAAATGAAACTTCACCAAATGCAAGAAAATACCTGTTCGGCTCTCTTTGGAGGCGGTAAAAAACCAACAGCAGCTTCATCCATAAGGTCCTTTCCTTTTTCTTCATTTTTGATTTCTCTCACAGTTTTACCTCAAATGATTCAGATACTGAATTTACAATGAAAAACAAAAAAAAAAAAAAAATATATACAGAATTAAAAATGCAAAATAGAAAAAGAGAATTCGAGAATTCCAACGGATCAATCGCCTTTACATGATAAATCATTATGTAACTTAAAGCATAAAAGTTACTTTTCCATCGTTGACGTTCTTCGAGGACTTTCTGCAACATGTTGTGCATTAATTGGCCACTCCTTTTTGCATCATCTTCTAAAAGATTGATCTGTTTCTCCAGCTTCTCCAATTCCAACTGTAAATTTATTTGAGTAAATCACCAAATCATAACAACTTCTTTTCGATGATAATGACCAGGAAGATTCATATTTTAATATTTCTCATACAGAATCCGGAATTCTGGGAAATTTACTCCTTTCTATTCATAGCAATCAATATGCAATAATTTTCCTAAAAATCGACATTATATCAAACTGTTTAAATCAGTCATTACGCTGCCCCGAAAATGAAGCAGGTAAACAAGCTAAGAATATAACTAAGGAATAATCCTTGGCTAACACATATATACCGAAGAAACCTAGCTTACTTGCTGATCTTCATAATTTCGTCTATGTTCGAAAGTTTGTGTTTCCAGTGAATTATACAAGATAAAACAGACAAATATAGATATGGTCAATACAGCGGCCAATAATCGACTCCAAGTTAAATGCATCTTTGGCCCATGTATGAAATACACTCAGTATAACAATTTCTAATTACTTCCGATTAACATAAATGACTCAGAAACGCAACATTCTGCAATAGCAAAAAAAAGAGAAATGAATCACTGAGAAATTGTTTGATTTGAGTCAAAATGATCGCTAAACTTTATTTCGGCAAAGAAAAAAGAAAGACAAAAGAGGAAATAGAAGACTAAACAAATTTTTTTTTTTCGCTAACGATTTTACTATGATAGGGGCCTCACATTACGTAATATAATAAGCTGTGAAATCAATCCCCACCAACCAACTTCAAATTTCCTATAACAATTCGAATTCATCAACAATTTTCAATGCTCACTTTCAAAAGAAAACGTTCTTATGGAGAAATCCTTTTAATATTTTAAAAATAATGCATTTAATATTAATAATTACTTGATAACCAACTAACAATCGAATTTTGAAAAAGATGAAAACAGATAGCTGGAGAAAAAATGCTAGCTTCAAATTAATTACCACATAGATTATATTATAATAGCTTCATCTGACAGTTTGGAAAGCAATGATATATTGTGGATGAGAATCTTTTTGACCTAGAATGTCATCTCATATAGATAAAATGAATAAAAAAAAAATGATTTAAGATCAAAATGCTAGTGATATGATAATGGTGACAGTATATTTACAATTTATGCACAGTTCAATGGTAAAAGTTGGGAAAAATTCATAAAAACCAAGTGCCATACCAGTATTCTCCGTGTAATACTTCCACTACAGCAATTTCGAATGATTTCAATCACATTACTTCTCGGAGACAATCTCGTGATAGTAGTTCCTCATGACAATTTCATTAGCTTTCATGTGTTTATATCAGCTTACTACATTTATTATATGCAGCATTACTGCACTGCAAAAATACATGCTGAAACTCAAAGTTTCCCGAAAATCTAGCAAAGTTTTAGCATTAAAAACACATGCTTATGGAAGAATATCAATAAACGGAGAAACATTTCTTTTTTTTTTTTTTTTTTTTTCTTTTTTTTTCTTTTTTCATGCTATCAGCAAAAACAAAGAAAATCTCATAACCAAAAATGAGAAAAAAGAAAATTAAGATAAAGCAAAATAACCAAAGAAAAGTAAGTAATTAAGCAATTAGAGAAATGAACGGCTAAAAAGATTAAACAGAAACAAATTGTCAAAATAGGTAATCAGAAAAGCATAATAGCACAAAAGGGATGAATGAAGCATGTAGAACTAGAAGATATTACAAACTGAGTTATCCAAGTAAAATGTGAATGATTGTCGTCTCCTGAAGCAATTATTACGACCGGAAATATTGTGAAGGCACAGCTAATACAACTTTTTTTTCTCCTTTTTTTCTGCTAACACTTATGCAATCAGTGTAAAATGCATTGTGGTTTTATTTATCCAGCACAAATTAAATATTAAAATATTAGAAAAACATTTATCCATATAAAGTACAGAACTCCTGAATATTACTGCCAAGTGATAGGATGACAACATTAATACAATATGCAAGATTTAGGTTAGTTTAAAGATGTAATCGTGCAACGGAGTAAGCATGACTGCTATCATTAGAATCATATAATTCGCACATGTCCATTTCGATCCCATCTATCAGCTAGAAAAACCAATTTTTAATTTAACTGAATCACAAACAAGTAAAGATAATAATAATGTTCATTACAACATAACCATACACAGGCGACAGTAGAAAGTCCACATACAACATTTGTTCAGTTCAATTTTAGCTAAAATCTAATTATTCAATTTCGCAAAAATTTGTTCCAAATAACTATCTTTTCTTTCACTCACCATTCACATTTCGCGACGATAAATTCTATCGGGAAATAAATGTGTAGAAGTGAAATATATATTTATATATCACATGAAAAAAACAGATATACCCTGACAGGAAAAATACAACTAAAACGAAAGAGTAAATTGCTTACTTTGATAGTAATTCTTTGTGCAGTCCATATAAAATATTACAATATGTTAAATTGTTTACAACTAAGTGCAAGTAACTGATGCAAAATCAAGCAAAACCAAAAAAAAAAAGAAAAAAAGAAAAGAAAACAGAACATGCCTATACCTAAATTACAGACAGTAGAAATGGCAATTGACAAACGAAACAGGAGCTTAACTACAGGGTACCATGCATTATTAAACATAAATGACAATGGGCAACCATACAAAGATGAAATCAATTATTCCAAAAGAACAACAATTATCTCACTCTTCCATTGCTAAACAATCATTTCACGACGCAGCTAATCATGAAAATTGGTGGAAATGGTACTTTAATGTTTTTTTAGTCCTTCTTCGGTAACCCTAGCAACAAAGTCTTACTCCAGTAGTCCTTATAACAATAACCGAGTAAAATATATAATCAAAATGAAATAAATCAGCGCTGCCTAAACTAATTATTTTACAGATTAAGGTGAAATTTATCTAACATTATTGCAGCAATACTCCTCTAAATTAACTTTGACCTAAATCAATTTCATTTTTGATAGGTCTGTGAATCGCGTTATTATAGTAATACAGGATCTCAAAAATTTGCATATATATATAATTTTAAAAACTGCTGAAAGAAGTTCCTAGTCTTAAATTGTTTATCTCACCTTATATATAAATACAAAGAAGAGATGAAGAAATCACAAAAATAAAGGGTTTTTTCAAACCTAAAAAGTCATAAAAAACTTATTACAACAAAAATCACTATAATAATTACAACATATGAATTTATAAAAAGAAAAAAACTGTATATATAACCCACCCTCACCTAAGTAAGAAATAACTAAAAGGAAATTATGCATAAATATATGAAATTGCTACAAAACAGGAAAAAGCAAGTGTTACAGATTTCCAATAAAATATCCATCAAGAATTCCTTGTTTTGAAATATTCGTAATCTGCCAGGCGATGCAGCATTAAATTTCACTGATGATGCCCACTAATCTCCTGCATCTTCATTGGTGGACTATAAACAGCAGTTTATTAAATGAAATAACTCATCAAAAAATAAAACTGTCAGTAAATTTAAATAGATCGATGATTGATATTACTCAGTTTCAGACAAAAAATTCAATTTTCATTCTTCAGTGACTTATTATTGAACAAGTAGTAATAGTAACAACATAAAAACAGACATAGGTAAATTATTATCACATTGAAAACAGTAAGACCTGAAATTTCACAATTTGATTTAAAAATGAAACTCTAAAAATTGAGTAAACATAAAAAACCTCACACATTTCTTTCTGAACTGACGATTTTGTGTTAATCCATCAAATCGCCGATAAGTATAATTTGAGAATTCTCCTCTATCGCCAAGTTGCTGCTTAGTCGCACCAACATCCGGTTTGTAATCAGCGGAAAAAAAAATGGATTTTTAATATAATTAATGAAAACGGAAGGCAGAACTACTTTTGTGATAGCTGACGCTAAAAGCTAAGCAAAAGTAAGATAATAAACTTACGAATGCTTAAATCGGCATCTGGGAATTCATCAAAATTTGACGTATCATCGATGCTTTTCACATCAACACGGATGGGTGCCGGACACTTCCTAAACGGAAAGGAGCAAATCAAAAAACAAACTATCGCCCTAATACCTCTTTTGGTAAGACATCTTAGATGTCAAAATATTAATTAATGCAAAAAAAGTAGGAAACTCCGAAAAAAGGAATAATGAAAATTTTCGATGAATTCACAGAATGCAAATAAAAAATTCGAGGATTGCATATAACTTCAAAAGTTTACAGTTGAAAACTCTGCTGTTATATCTACCTGATGTTGTTCCAATCGATTCCACGGAAAAACTGACATGTCTTTAGCTCTTCAACACCATCACTTTGACCTAAACGATGCTCCGGTTCTGAACAGAATTTCTTGATCGTCTGAAACATTGACATTAATCAAATTTCTGGTGTTAATTGAGTTTCTGGTAATAGTTATTTTTCACTATTTGCCGCTTGTAATACTCTTATTGAGTAATCATTTTCCGAATTCTGTTGCAACCAGCCGACGGCAATAAATAGCATTAAATTTCAGATCACCATCTTTACTGTAAACTATTATAATGTTCACCTGGGTAAGGAAGTACGCTAATGTTCAAATTATAGAAACTATAACCTATGATTTAACCTACTGTTTTAGCATCTACAGAGATTGGCATTTCTGGTGGAAATAACAACGTCTGTTTCCAGTTAATAACTTTTCGATATGTTTCTTGAGGTGTTTCAGAACAGAACGGTGGATAACCTGCAAAATTGTATATCATAAATCAATAAAAACAATTTCAAATAAAAATTTGACTATCCTTTAAATTTAAAGCCTCAGTACACCGCTATTATGAAGATCAGCATTTTAAGACCTCAACTCAACGAGTTTTTATACTGGAATCTATCAAATACCCACCGATAAGCATTTCATACATAATAACACCGAGAGACCACCAATCACATGCCTTCGTATAACCATTCGGTTGGAAAATTTCTGGCGCAATATAATCTGGTGTACCCACCGTCGAATAAGCCTGAGAGTTCATTTTTTTTTTTTTTTTTTAATTATTGTAAGCTCTAAGTGCCAACATAAACAACATCAAAACTCCGAATTTAAAAATTTTTTAAGAAAGACTCAATGCAATAAAAAACTGAAAATGATTCCAAGCTCGAAAAATTAATTGATAGACCCTAGGAAAACTAAGCAGAGAACATTTAATGTCTAGAAGTTTAAATTAGTAGATAAAAGAATTTTGTAGTGATCGTTTATAAAGAATATGGTGTTTGAAAAACTAAAGTACAATTGCCCGTCTGTTTCTCTTCCATGTTTCGGCTTTTCGCTTTGATCCAAGTGGTTTTGTTACAAAATCCTTTGGCAGTTGACTTGGCCAATTTCGATAGTATTCGGTTCGATGAGCCTTTTTAAGACCTGTGCACAATCCAAAATCTGACAGCTTTATGTGCCCCTGAAAAATGGTGGCTATATCACAAAGCGTCTGTGGACGAAACTGCAGCTGAAGGAAGGAAAATAGAGAAAAATAATTCTTGCAGCTAGAAATAAATTTACATGTTCAACTAGTTTTTTAACCTAATTGTAATGCATATGTATATTAATATCTAATTGTTATCAATATGTATAAAATAAATATTCTTCCTTAAAAACCATCAAGTAAAGATTATTTGATTTCATTTTTCGAAAAACTTAATTTTGAATCCAGTAGCAAATTATCTGGCTTAATATCACGATGGATAAAATTTAAATTATGTATTGCTTGTATCGCTAGCGCTGCTTCGGCAATGTAAAATTTAGTGGCATCTTCCGACAGTGTATCCTTCTTGATCAGTAGTGTCATCATGTCACCTGAAACTACGCAACAGTTCTCACAATTTTCATGTTTAACTCATTCTTTAGAACTATGAAAAATTTCCGAGAATTTATCCTGTAATAATTTCAAGTTTTATCCATCCCTGCTACAAATCTACTAATTTGAAAAGGATAATGGTCTTATTCTCTCGAAAGTTAGGGCAGACATTTTACAAGTGAAAACTATATCTTAGTCATGTGTATTTTTAACCGACACTATCTTGCATGGCTTCACCACTTTAGTTAAGTTTAAATATCTATCCCTACCTCGAGAACAAATTGTAGATCAAGTACCGCAACTACTTGATTATTTAATCACCATAATCAATTAAGAAAATCAACTCACCACCAGGCAAAAATTCCATAACTAAATACAGGTTAAGTGGATCTTGAAACGAAAAATACATCTTTACAACCCATTCGCAATCAGCCTCGGATAGTATATCACGCTCTGCACGAACATGAGCTGTCTGAAAACTGAGTCGGTTAATTATTGATTAAATTATTAAGATTTTTTGAAAGTTGGTGTTTTCTGAAAATAAAACATAAATTGAGAGAGTACAATGAAAAACCAATAGTAATAGTTGGGAAGTTCTGAAATCACCTGTTCTTTTTCAAGCATTTCAGTTTTTCGTAAAATCTTCATTGCATAAACATGACCAGTGTCGATTTTTTGAACCAATCGTACCTGCACAAGAATTTGAGGGAAACTTCGTTTTAAATTTCATATTATAACTTGATCGTTACCAACGACGTTAGCTATTATTTGAAAAATGAAAAAAAATGAGATACCACTTCATATCCTATTAAATTATAACGTATGTTCCGGTTTCCGGAATGGCAATTCATTTCTTCAGTAGAAACAACAACGTAATATCATGTGTAAGTTCAGAACTTTAGAAAGTTATTTCTTTATGCAAACTTCATTCAGTTTCTGCTCTGTCTTATACTAATATCACATCCTTCATTTTGGGCTATAAGTTTTCAAAGGCCTAGAATTAATTTAAACCAAATTATTCACCAACTTCTCCGAAAGCTCCTCGACCAATTACTTTAAGCGACGTGAAATCCGCAACAGTTAGTCGTGTCCTTTTCAATCGCAAAAAATCTGTTTCTTTAGCCATGTGCACTTGTCGACGTATCACTTTCTCCGACTCCGAAAGACCTGAAAAGCAAAACAATTTGTTTGCACTTTGCATAATTTTGGCAGTCATTTCGAATTCGATATCATTTACTAAGTCGAAGTGTGTTCAGTCATCGAATATAATGAAGGATGCAGTACCTGTAACATTCACAAATACATTCAGCAAAATTTTGACCCATGTCAGCTCTTTGTACAAAGTGCCGCAAAATGATACGCAAAATAATTTGTCTTAATTCTTTTTCAAACCAACAAATAAGAAATAAACTAATAAACAGTAGAACATTATTATGACAATTAGGATATTCACACGAACAGTGCGATGGACCAACCTTCCATTTCCATTTTTTCTTCCAATTTTTGCAACCTTTTCTCTCGTTCATGGCATTGAGCTAGAGCTTGGGCGTAGCAGTTCTCAATAAGTAACCGGGTACGGTTGGCACGTTCCAGTGTATACTGGGATATTTTTGTACTGATTGTTCCGGCTGCCGAAGAGGCCATTTTCCTAACGAAACATACAGTACACGGCCAACATAAATGATACCCCGCCAACACTTTTTTCAATAACTCGTCCAATGCTGCCTAAAAATTATAACTGCCTTCCGAATTTATATAATTCCATCCTGAAATTGTATTACTTTTTGAAACCCACCAAATTTTTATTAGATAATTTCCCATTTATGAGATAGCGAAAGTGCGTGACTCCTCAGAAATAAGCAAACATTATACAGGATATCTATATGCATGAACATCAGCTAAGTCAAACTTCGATTACTAAGTTCTTAAAACATGTGTAAGTAAACCAGCATATGGAATTCAGCTTTGCTTTTCAATTTGCATCGCAAAATAACGAAAAATGGAGGCATCAAAAGTATTGTAGTACAAATCAATGAGCTTGATGACGAGACCATTTCAGGGTGAAGTAGTCGAAATAAAACAATGTAATGTTTAGGAATTGAAAATGCTCAAGTCACGGCTATCTTCAATAGCCATTATTATTAATTTTGCTAAACTTATTGAGAGTCGAGGTTACCAAACATATGCAGCATCTCATATTACAATAAGCTTATTCGTGAGGTGTTTGAAAGCTTTTCGATTAACTATTCACTGCCAATGACTTTACAAAAAAAGAAAAAGAAGTGAAGCTAAGCAAAAAGCTCTAGATTACACTATACATATGCTTTGCACATTGCATTTTGGCCTGCCCTACCTGAACATTGTTTTTTTTTCTTGTTTTTTGCATTTACATCACCAATAGAATGACTGGTTTCTTATTTGCTAATCTGAAGAAAAACCACATTCATTTCCATATTTTCTGTTCCAATCAATTTGTTTATTTGTTAAAAATGTTCAGTTATATGTTAGACATACATAAATTCTTTACTTTATAACATATTTGATTAAATACATTAGAAAAAAAACAGAATAAGAGAAAGGCTGTAAATTGAGTAAATGAATAAATTTTTTATATACATATTTATATCTAACCATTTTTGATAAATGAAACGACAAAGAAAGAAATGAATAAATAATTAAACGAATACAACGAAACATATTTTGATTTCAAACTTTAATGCACTGCATTAAACTGTGCATCTCAACAGGTCATTATTACAAGAGACAATTATACAAATTAGTGTCAAATAAGGTCACTAAAATGCTAGAATTCTGATGATATTTTAAAGACGAGAAATCAGTTAGAGAAAGGCATAATTCTTCTGAGAGATAACACAGATACGATCAGCGATGCACGGCACAGGAAAGTATCACATGCAGCAAATCAGATGTTTCCATGCAGTGACAAAGGCTTAGCCGCGAAATACCAGTTGTACCAGAGTGTAAGATGGAGGAGGAGGCCATCCTTCATTTGAAACGTCCCGGAGGAAAGTATCTCCCTGAAATTCAATAATAGTTTGAGAATTCGTGTAGTTATATTTGTTAATTAAATAATTATGATCACTTGAATAAAATATTTTCAAGTTCTTTTTGTCACCTTCATCCTGCTTTGTCCCCTTTCCTCATATCTATCAAAGTTATCCGGGCTTTTGTCAATTCATTGCCAAATCGTAACTAAATGTATTGAGAGAGAGAGGACGAAGTGGAATTTTTCTTCCTTCCATAATGCAAAAATTAATCGAAACAGACGTTCTTCCTTCACCTAGGGATACAATGACAGAGAAGTTTACTTAATTTTAGAAAGGAAAACTGAGATTAGGCCTAGCTCATGTCCAGCTGTAAATTTTTGTAAATAACGTAAAAGAAATGATAATTGTAAAATTTATGGAAAGATCGCATATTGCCTTCAATGGCTATCACAGTAACACAAGAAGGTTGAGATGGTTTGGTTCCGCGAATACCGGTCACCTTTATTGCCCTTTTCTCTCTTTCATCTCGCCGTTGCCGTCGTCTCCAACGGCGGTGAGGACGGATGACCCGAACATGGGAGTGCACAGATAGGACGGAGGTGTGTTAGTATTGGTTGGGAGAAAGGGGGGCACAGATTGTAATTACTTTTTGCTGCTAAGCAACTTGTCCATGTTGATCAATCCACTGATTAATGCGACATTAGTTTGCAGAATAACGGCAAAAGTGTGATGGCTAACGTGTCCGGGGTGGGGACGCTAAATGCGGATGAAACAGAATTGGTTCAGCTGGACACGAAGTCGAGAACTGTCGGGGAAACTTATGCGGTGTGATTAAATTTTAAGTAACAACTAGCAAATTAAATTTGAACACAGTTGTTGTGTTTGATTTACTGAATACGAATTTTTTTATCATAATTAGTATTTCATATTTCTGAATTCCGTCACTGTGATTATGGAATTTGTGACAACTATTAATATTATCTCCAATGTTTGCATTCATAGTTGCTTTAATACTTTTTCTGCAGATATGTAACACTTATAATTATCGTTTAATTATTGTTTAATTTTATTTACCCATTCAGTGTTAAGATTCGTTTTCTTGCATTAAAACTTCTGATAGATTTGTAGGTGGAAAAGATTGTTGGAATCAGAACGAGTGAGACCGGTGAAAAGCTCTATAAGGTACGGTGGAAAGGGTTCTCCGAAAGTGAAGATACGTGGGAACCGTACGAGAATTTAACGGATGGTTGTGACCGGTTAATTATCGAATATGAAGTTAGTCAAAAATCGAAAAACAACGAGAATAGGGAACATTTATTGCCATCAACTAGTAGAAGTAACAATTCATCGGTAAGTTACTTCGATTGCAGATGCTGATTCCGCAGTTTATTTCAAGATCTTTTAGAATAGCTTGTGATCTATCTATCTATATATATATATATATATATGCTAGTCAATTATTGATGTTGATTAATTAGTCAATTATTGATTAATTAGTCGGTTATTGACAATACTTAAGTAATCATTTAAATTTTAATTTTCACATTACTATTATATTATTAGGTGTACTATTTCATTGTTTATTCTTTGCTTAATAATATATATATATATTAGCGATCTATATAGCTCTTCTAAATCAACAATTATGGTATTTGATTACTGTTTCAGGAGGATAGCATCGAAAGAAATAACCGACATACCCTCTCTACTCGTTGGGAATATGAAACAGTTGAAGTGCTCACGCCGGATGAATGGAATCGGTTTGGTGATGTTGAGAATCGTGAACTGGGTGGTCTTTATATTCCAGATCGAATTCCAACTGAAACGGAAAAGGTTTTAGGATAAATTTGTATTTTTACCCTATTATATATATATATATATATATGTGCATCTTACTTAGAATGCATATGACGGTTAATCATAGCTAAGGGTTGATAAACGGCAACTTTTAATCTTTATTTGATTTTATATCTCACTGGCAAAATTTTCCTGTTTCCACTATGATATTTCTTTATCATAGCAAAAAGCTGTTGTTTAGAAAAGTTCATAATGTTGACCACACATTGATTTATAGAGTTTATTTCAGCCAATAATTAGTTTTGATTATGATGCATTTTAGCTGCTGTGTAATCTTGCACCAGATGTAGGTCGCGTTACTAGAAATAAACTGAAAACCGTTATGAAAACCGAAAACTCTCCAGTAGATGAAACACGGTCATCAGATGGTGCTAAAAAACAAACTGCTAGAAGCAGACGACGAGATGGAAAGGTTTTTTTTTCGCTTCAGTAAATGACTGTTTATGTACAGTACGATTTAAGAAAAAGTAGCTATTGTCTTTTGGTCTTACCTTGGAAAGGCATGTTAATATTTGTAGAAATATGGCATATACTTCAAAGATTTCAGTATATTAATTGAGCTTTTTGAAATAAAGTTTTTGTTCGTTATAATTACCGATTTAATGTGATATTTGTAACTTTCTAGAAAAGTGTTGCATCCACAGATATAAAAAGATCGGTTGATGATGGCCGACGTAGTGTTATCAAGGATGAAAGTAAAGTGCTGGCAAATATGAGTAAGGCTGAGGTAGTTTTCTGGATTGTCATTATGGTCTTAAACTGTTTTAGAAGAATTTTTTAATGTAATAATATAGACGGGTAAAAAAAAATTGACTTAATTGGATAAAATAATAGAAATAAAATAAGATAAAGTCTAATTTCTTCAGGAAGAACGAGAAGAATCTTTACTACTAACATTTTCGGAAAGAGCAGCTACAGCAAAAGTAGAAATCCCGGATGAACTATTGCTATCGGAGTGTGCTGATAATGGTTTACAGATTGTCGCAGCGGATACATCCACAGAAGATGAAGGATCTGCAGTTAATAAAAATAGCTCTTCATTTCGTAACATTGGCAATAGGCGTTCAGGGCGAGGAAGAGGAGGAAGTCGAGGACGTGGAAGACGGAGGAAAGTATCCCCCCTCCGTTCAAATGAGGTTCAGAGCATAATTTTTTTATGTGCTTGTTCGTTTTAGGATTTCGTTCAACAAAGTGTTGCAATGTCTGATTTTTCAAAACTTTTCATTTCATTTTCCACCTTGATATTTTGTTCATTCCCTAAGACTTTCTCACAAAACTGATGCAGGATGTCGCTATTTCACCAGCTAGTTCTGAAGTGCGACCAACAAGTGCTGAATTCTCTGATGAAGTACCAAATTTGGTAGTGGATGATATGGAGCCAATATCTGATGAAGAGAGATCGAATTCAATACGTGAAAGTACAGCTAGGAGCCATCGAGGCAGCTCCCGTGGTCGAGGATTATCAAGAGGAAATAAGGGAAAACGAGCAACCACATCATGTGGAACTACTGTGGTGGACACTAGTGAGACGTCTAGTAACAGCATCAGATTGAATAGGGGTAGAAAACGAAGAGCTTCTGCAAATACCGATGATCTTGTTGAAGAACGGGTATCTACTACTGAAGAGACTTCTGCACAAGACGTATGTTGCTTTCATTTTAATTGTAATGTAAGATAAAAATTAGCATTTGTTAATTGCTCTTGTATTTTGTCCTAAATATAGACCTTTAATGATTTAATTTTTGGTTTAATATTTATGTACATACAAATTTTAAAAGTATGTAATATGTTTTCAGATACCTCAAAATACATGCAATACCATTCAAGTGCTTCCTACAGATGATGAGTCAGATGAACCGGAACCAGATGTTTCAATGCTGGAAATGCTTAGTTTTGAAATACCAGAATTACCGTTACCTTTAACAAATGCTGATATTTCAGCTATCGAAATTGCTACAATTCGTAGACATCAACAAAATCGCGAAAAACCTCTGCAAACGTTTGAAGTGAGCATATGAGCGGAAATTTTCATTTTTTACGTTATGAATTTAAATGATAGTTTATTATTAGAATCAACCTCATGATCTCAAATTTCTGCCATACTAGCTATTAAGAAGATCAAATTGTGTGTTTTTGTCTTTTTCAATTTTGTGTTGACAGCTTAATGCGTTTGACCTTAAAGAAGTAGTCATAAAGAAATCTGAAGGATGCTATGTTGCGACCGTGAGCAGAAGTGCAATTTGGAATGTCTGCACCGAATAATAAGCATGTCACTGTTGTTGTTGTTGTTGTTAATGTGTGGAAAAGGCCGAAGGTTTGATGCATTGTACCAGAAATCAAATAAGAAGCTCAAAATTTGCAGCAGTTCCGAAGCGCAGTTTTAACAAATCAACTCTCTGCTGTTAGATGGACGGGTCGCTGCGTACCAGAAAGGCGCGGTTTTGATTTCAACCAGAAATATCGCGGCAAAACTATTGCAATTGAAGTAATTGATTATTTTGATGAATCATAAGCACACTCTTGATTGAAATTTACCGATTCAACTGAACGCTTTCTTTTTTCAAGTTATGCGAGAGACCTTGCGGTCCGGCTCACGAAACTGATGACATGTTACGGCAAATTGTCCGTGATGGTGCACGGCTGGACATACCGGACGATACGAGGGGACGCATCCCGTTGCACTTTGCTATATCTTGCGAGTTTTGGTGTCGAGTTAAGACTCTTCTACATTTAAGGTCAGTTTAGCAAAATGTTATGCAAAGGAGTGTTTTGACCAAAAATCTGATCGTTATATACGACTGAAAAAGAAGTTGGATTCTTGACTGAAAAGCATTGTGCTACCTTTTTTTTACAGGACGTGACTAAAGTATGCAGTATTAGGCCAACATGATTTGGTTTGACAGAGACTAGAATAACTTTACTTAATGTGTGGATCCAGCTGGTAATAATGTGTTTGTAATTTTATTTCATTTTATTTATATCACAGGTTTTATTTCATTGGAAAGTGTTCAGATCACCAGTAAATACTGAAGATAAAGACAAAAAGACACCGCTGCATCTAGCGATTCTAACTCCTCGCGCGCCAAATTTCGAAGTGACGAAAACGATTTATCTACTCCTCGAATATGGTGCTGACGTTAATGAAGTAATCAGAAAAATGACACCATTGCGGAACAGGTGATCTGGCATTTTACACATTTTACTCACATTACATTTTTTTTATTGAGTTTCGAAGTTTTGAGCTCAAAGAAATTTTGGGGTGAATTTTGAAAAGTTTAGTAATGGAGAATAAAATTCTTTGTTAATTTTAAAGTTAATGACGATGATGATGATTCTTAACAGACTTTGTGGAATTTCATTTTTCGTTAATTTTAAGATACCTATCAAATCTTATCGATCATCAGCAGCGCCTTTCTGAGGCTTTTGATGAAGCGAGGATGAAAACTTTGGTGTAAGTTACTAAATAGTATTAAACATACGTCCAGATTTTTGAAATTTTATTGTTTACTGGGCTTTTCGACAACTGGAGGAAACACGGTAACATTGTTCCACTGTGACAAAGAAAGTAAAGAAAAAATAAGAAAAATAGGGAGGTAGGGAAAAAGATTCATTTTTATTCAGACTGTCATTTATTTTATCAGAGCAAACAAAGTTCGAGGGAGAGGTGCACGTCATTGGACAATTCAGGTCTTCAAAATAACGTTTTAAAACTTCGAGTAATTTTTACACCTATTCTTCGATCATATCGTCATTATGTTCAATATATTAAAAACGCATGAATTCAATCTCCGAAGTCTTGCTTTGAGGAATCAGTTTCCAAATAATTTAGAAAATATTTGATAGTCGATTGTTCAACTTATATGAAAGATGATTACAGTTTAAAATCCAATTAATAGCATTTTTGGTACAGCGTCATCGATTTAAATATTCACTTAGAAGGACTTTCGGAAATTAGTACGGCACGATCGATTAACATTAAAGGCTTATATCGCATTCAGAATTTACAGAATGTAGTTTTTCACATCATCCTTTAAGCAGTCTATTTTGTTTCCAATAATCAGTCAAGTATACCATAGCGATGACACAATCAATTCGTTCTGTTGGATAGTGAAGTGAAGAAGGGGTAAAATCATTGGATGAAGAAAGGATTGGATGAAGGAATGGATGTTTTGTCATTTTTTTGAAATTCCTTAAAAACTCTGATATGACAAATCTCGAAATCAAACTGTTCAAAAGAAGAGAATCTGTAGCGGCCTTTTTAAGGAGTTGAACTGATGGTGGGTTATGATCAGTAAATACAAATATAGTACATAGTAACTGGTGGATTTAATAGGTGATCCGTTTTTGCTGCAAAAGTCTGACCTTGCATTTTGTTTGAATTTCATGTTATGGGAAGTGCCAGAGAGTTGTTTCACTCTTCTTTGTCAGGATATGGCGATATTTTGTCTATTATGGATAAATGCGTCTGCTTTTAACATTTGACTCTACTACTAGATACATCCAAAGGTTATGAGTTAAAATTTCGGGTAATGAATTTATGTGGTAACGAACGAGAGATTTGTGTTCCGCTTTTAGTTTTACACGATAATGAGTCGTAAGCATGTGGTCATTCTAAATGAAGTGTTTTTTTTTTTTTTAATGGACTTCGTCTAATTTATACAGATTATATCTCACCTGCTTCTTTCTATTAATCTTTCGTTAACAATTTGTTAAAGGTTAAAAAGTAGTGCGGCAGATTTGTCTTAATTGCCTCAAAATGAGTTCTGGGTCAATCATTATGGTATTATAGAAGTAGTGGTAAAATAGATAGTTGCATTTGGAGAAGATCGAATTGGCTTTTGCTGCTGGGAAATTGGATTAGTTAATTTTTAAAATGAAAATGATGCTAGTTGATGCTACGAGACGTGCTAGAGTGCATGCCTACAGCATGCATATGCATGCATATTTATTTCATAAACTATATATACGCAAATCGCAGATCGATTCATATAAAATAGAAGTTTTAAAATATAACAATATCGCGAAAAAAGAAAACATATGTAGCATTTTAGAACTTGATTGAGTGGTGCAGAAATTAATTTTGCTCTTTTTGAAATGATAGATTTCTTTTTTTTAATTTTCGTCCATTAGATAATAGTTAATAAATTAAGTATAAAACAACTTCTAAGTTATAAATAATTAGATCTTCCCTTCCTGTTGTTTTTTTTTTTTTTGTTTCAATAACTTTAATATTTGATGAAATTGATTAAATCGTAAAAGCATACCATTAGATGGTTTGTGTCCAATATTAATTTATTACACATAAATTTCCTTCTTTTTAATTTTCATATTTTTTTTTTCTGAAACAAATCACACAGGTTTGTTGATTTTTTATTGCTTTTCTGCCATTTTCCACTTAGTTTTGTGATTTATTTTTCAAACATTTATTCCACTAAAAAAAAGATTAATTTATTGGAGATGATCAGCTCAATTTGCTATATTTGTCAAAGGAAGGAAGACAAGGAATTTGCAGCATAAATTTGACTGTAAATCTGATTGGTACTAAGTTTGTGGGCTTTCAATATACCTATCATAATAGTAAGGATAGTATAAAGAGAAAGAGAGAGAGAGAGAGCGAAGAAGACATAATAGATTTATTTTTTGTTCGCTGTTGTGAATTCTTCAGATTTTCGAGTACCAGGGGATTTTGGAATTTTTTATCAAGGTTGATTCATATTTTCTGTATTGGACGTTGAATACATGAAAATGGAAAGTTTTTGTGTCCAGGCTGTAAATTTGGGGAGGTTCTTTTCTTCCTTTCTTTTTTTCACATGATAATCTTCCTAAGCTAGAAGCTGAACGGAAGTAAGGTCTTGATGTTTTTTTTTTCTAATTTCTTGAAAGTTTGCAGTCTGATTATCCTCTTCATTTGGTCGATTTATTGAAGGTAGTTCTAGACTCCATAGTTTATGAACTTGTTTTGTTTGTTGTCAGAAAATCTGTAAGATTATCGTATTAGTTTCACTTGGTTATTCGAAAATCCCATAAAGCTATAGCTCTTTCTAAATTGCTATGTACAAAAGAAGATCATATTCCTATTTAAAAAGTTTTAAGTTTTCGTGTGCGTTAATCTTACTGTTAAAAGTGTACTTTGCTATTAATCCAGTCATCATTATTTTCATGCATAATACATCAATTTTTTCTAAACTTAGGAAATTCTTTGTTTTTTTTTAAAAACTAACCCATATAAATGTGTACGTATTATAGGTTTTGATTTTCTTAATTTCCAGAGACATAACTGTGAAGCGAATACTCCTTCCTGTTTCCGTCCGGGCAATGTGGGAATTCGAATCAACAGATTGGACAACTGAAATTGGCTTTAATCATGAAACGTTCCTGTTTCCCAATGATCGCTATGCTTATATGATATTACTTGCTGTTTTCGATTATCGGAGCGCACGATATGTACTAAGCGTTTTTGCTTTTTTCGAAATTTACAGAATGATTATTCAAATCATTATATTACTTCGTTAAGTTATTGTAATCCTTTAGTTTAGAAACTTCTGCATACATCTTAATGTTTTATGATATATAAATCATTTATTATTTTTACAACTTCACTTTTTTCAACTTACCATGAATTACAGTAATCTGATATTACTAGGAAGAAGGAGCACGAGGTCAACAAAAGTTAATATTGAAGTGGTTGATTTGTGCAGTAGAATTGCTGATAGTTCAAGATTTTGTTTATTAATTCACATCAGATCCGAGCTTGTTACTTGTTGCAAACATTTTAACTTACAAATTTCAAGACTTGTAAACAAGAAATTACAGTGGCGTGTACGAATGTGGGGTGAAAGTCCCTTTGACGATGTGCAGATGAATAATGATGCGGTGGAACCACTGACCAATAATCCGAAAGGTTTCATTTATGTGACTTCGCTTATCAATGGCTGGAATAAGTTGAAAATCCGCTTTCATCCTTATGTTAAAAAGAAGAAATGGTTAATGATGGCACAGGTAAACACATATAAATGTCTTCTAAAACTCTTTTTTAAGAGTAAAAAAGTGATAGCTATACAAAACAATGTTTTTTTTTTTTAATTGTCTCAAAGGTATTTTGTGACTTTCAAGGTTTCAAAAGTATGTCATTAATGACTTTAACTGCCCAAATTCATCATTTTTTCAGGTGTTGCTTGTACAGTTACACAAACCTGCCTCATATGTACCAAGACCTGCACTTGAAGTAGCCCCTGAAAGTGGTACTGATTGGAGACACGAATGAAAAGTACTGGTTACTTCTGTGACTTCTTAGGACTCACTTAGGTTTCGCTTAGGTCAGCTTATTCTTTCTACATTTGTTTTCTTGTTAAACATGTGCTCGAGTGTTTCATATAAGAATTTTACTAAGTTCTGGGTAATTTTGGGATATTCATTCAGCATGCATTGTGTATTTTTGAGGACTACATTCCAGTAAGCACTAGGATAATCGTGGTTGCTACATGACAATCTATCATTTAATCAAAATTTTTTAGGTGCTTACGTGCTAACTTTTATGTCGGCTTTAAAATTAGTGAAATTTAAAATCAGTATGATCTAAGAATTAAAGACCGTTGTTTGCTTAGTACCAAAATTTTTTAATGTTATTGAGTATGATTTTATGAGTACTGGTACGTGTTTTAATATCAGTAATAAAGTTCGCTTATGGAAATTATAAATCAGTGTAATAAAAGGCATTATTTCTGCATATGACAATAAGCATGTAAATATTTACTTATTACTGTTGGCATAGTAAAAAATAAAATCAACATTAATTTCAAAATTTAAGATTTACTTATATTTTTTTATATGCTAAACAAACATTATTCATCATCAACATCTGTGAAATCATATGGTTGGAAGATTTGCTTTAGATTGTCAATCAGTTTTGTTTGTTCATTTTTCTCCAACTCACACTGACGCCAGTCAATTTTTTCTTCACAATCCAACAAAGCCGGCTCTGCCAATACCTATAATTCAGTTTCTAGTAAACAAAAGATAAAATTCTTTCTACCCGAAAAATCTCGAAGAGATTTCTAAGGTTTCTCAAAGGATGCTTCTAACTTCAAGTGCTTTTTCAGTTTTTCCTTTTTTCAATTTCAATCAGCAAAATTATGTTAAGAGAAAGTAACCAATGGCTTAGGATATTTATTATATTGGATAGACTTACTTCCCGTCCAAACTGCAGTGGGAAGTCGACCATTTTTAACGAATAAAGTCGGCTACCATCTGGAAGCTCGACAAGGAAATATGGACAACCTTCATTTACTATATCCCAAATCTGGAAAACTTATGTTTTTTAAAAATGCTTCTGCAAGAAACAAACAGATGCACAATAAACTATTACTTATAAATAATAAAAAAATCTTAAAAATCGGAGGGTTTTACCTCCTCTTCTTCTCCCAGGAATACCATTTCTATGTTTTTGATTTGTGCGGCATTCAGGAACGAACTTCGCAAAGCCTTCGAACAAGTTTTCGGAATTGGTACAACTTGTATCTATAATAAAGCCTTTCTTGGTAATAATTATAATGCAAATTTATTGATACTGAGCAGATGATGTAAGCCAGACTTAAGTATGTATTTGCAAAGCATGCATTCTTGAAAATTTTTGTAATTCTTGAAAAGTAGAATTAAATAAGCTGCGAGATTCTCTTCTGAAGACAGAATGAGGAATAGCTTGGACTGAACAAAAACCTGCAAGTGTTGCGTTTTATAATTCCGTTCGAAAAACACTGGTAATTTGCCTTGTTTGTTAAACATCAGCGTTAGCGCGTCTTTGTATTTCTTGATGTCATCTCTAACTGCTTGCGGAGCAGCCACAACTGACTGTATGTGACCTTTTAAACAAATCATATTACTGTTTTATTCAGCAATTGAACTTCGAGCAACAAAAGTTTAATTTCAATCGAATCAAAGAAAGGAATGTAATAGTAGGATTTACTACAATTTAATCATAAATTGGAAACCAACCAATCGACAGAATCATTACATGATCGTTTACTAGCGGACCTTTTGGCATAGCTAAGTAACACTCATCTGCTACAGATATTACCAAATACTGTTCCACATCTACGTTTGATAGACAGAACCAGCAAGGTTCTTGAACTCGTACTTCGCGGGATTCTAGAAATTTGGTGGTATGAAACTTTCCGATCGAATACAGTTAAAAAGTGGAGTGAATTAAAATTAAAATGTCTTGGTGATAAACACTCAAAAGTGCCTTTAAAGCTATGATAACTATATCCAAAAAGTTCACTTTCTTCTGTAATGGTATTTGCATTCACAGTGTAAGGTGTTCTAAACATTTCTACTAGAAGAAAAGCTAAGAATTTACAAAGATGCTATTTTTAATTCCTAATTAATCTCAATAGGTGTGGAAAATTCGTTTCTTAAACCTTTCTTCCGTCGTTTACCGCCACGATCAATATTATCTTCAACTTCAGCTGACATATCAAAAAAATACTGCTCCTTGAAATCCTGTTGTTCCATTTTTTTCTCTTTTTCACTAAAAAAAATTTCATAAGTTTTCAATTCTTTATATTCTAATCGTCAATAAATTTGCCGTAAATATTGAGGAACGTTGTTTATTATCAACTTGACAATTTGAATTTCTTTGCATATCAGCAATCATTAAGCAACGTAAGTTTTCTATCCCAATTTTGAAAAAGCAAACTAAAAGGAAGTGAACCATACTCTAAGATCATTCGTGCCAGGATCTCCATGTACGGAAATTCTGTAGCATTATTTGGTTGCGCTGTAATTTCAGCTCTTGATAATTTCCGCATGGGGGTTATTGAGAAGGCATAAAGCCATTTGTCTTTGTCCGGATTCATTACTGGAGCTAAACCAATAAAACGTGTAACGTGTTGAGCCACTTCTTGTAAGATTCGATGGTTCCTAAAAAAAAATTTTCTTTTTTATTTAAATCCTTCAAAATTCAGAATCTTGAATCACTATATAAGTTAATTGAGCACAAGAAAAGACGGAAAATTTTTCCAAATATCTGCATTGAAAAGAAGGACGAAAAATGAATAAAGAAATCATCACTAATTCAATTTTAAGGCTTGAAGGAAAATTAAACCTGTACGGTGTTCTTTCGTAATGTGTACCCATGCCAGCAAAATGATAACGAGGTTTTAAGCCTGCTGCAAGTTGTGATAAAATACAACTCCCTTCAACATCCTTTTTTGGACAATTTGTCGAAAACTTTGAAATCTGAAACTTGATAAAATAGAAAACCTATTTTGATAAGTATCAAACTCAAGAACTGCATAACTAGAAATAATATGAAATGGTACCCCAGCGGGCCACATGGATGTAAGCAGAAGATCGAGTCCCAAATATCCGGTACTTGCTTTTACAAAAGTTAACAATTCATTAACATCCTTCTGATTGAACTGAAAAATGTAATGAATGTACAAACTATTTAATTATTCCAAAAATAAATCACTATGTTCAGAAATATGCTCATTGAAGAAATGAATGAAAAGAAAGCGGAAAGAGAAATGAATATATCCTGTCATTATTTCGCAATATTTCATTTCCCGTAATGCAAATTACTTTAAAAATCTTCATAATAAATCTTATGTTACCTGATAAGGTAAACCTTGTGTACCCTCAACACCACTTAGATATGCCACTTGAAGACCACCAGTTGTATTCAATATACCTCTCTTACCAAGATATGTTAGATTTGCAAAGAATTCAATACCATCTTTTGGATAAAATTGTGAAGTCGACGGGCAACATGATCCTATTTATGACTATTAATAGTTTCTAGACAAAAGTCATTATAAAGCCTCTTCAAATTTGATTTTAAATCCAAAGTTTGATCTGCTTACTTCTAAAGCTTCATCTCTATTTCTGCACAGTGATATTTCTTGGCAACTACTAAATTAAAATCAGAAATAGCTTCTTACCTACAGTTTTTCTCTATGAATTTTTCTTGTTTATGAGAAACAAAACTCAAAAATTATTTATAGAAATCACTAAGTTGATTAACCATTTATTCTTCGCTCACCGCTAATCCAGTACAAGAGAAACTTCAGCATTACGTCCAATATCAACATCTTGAGAAAGAGAATTCGAAACATTATTAGCGGTGGAAATCATTTAAATAATCCCTGGATTAGGTTGGTAATAGTTATTAAAAACTAGAGATTTAGAATTCATCTAAAAAAATTCAAGAAAACCTAAAATATACGTAGAAATCGGCATTTTGACAACGCCATTGATAATTTGTTCGTTTGACTCCTTATTCGGACCAAAAAATTCGCCAACACAAAAAAGCATATCAAATGGACCACTCTACAATCAAGTCAAATATTCTAAACAGTACTTTCACTGTGAATTAATTTGAAAAGTAGTGATGAAGCTGAAAAAAGAAGTTACCTAAATATTTTTATGCTTTTTCGCTCATTTCTGCAGGTTATATATCTTTTAACGGCACTGCTATTCTCAAGGACTATTAATTTAATTAATTTAATGCAGTTATCAGAAAGTTTTTTCCCTACTGGTACTTTATAACTCCACTGAAACAATACTTAAGTTTCCAGTTCATATTAAAAGATATTCAGTAACCACTTCCAGCAATCTAATCGTATTTAGAACTGCTCATAAAAAAGTCGAATATTGTCATAACTGAATACTGTAAAACACATTTTTTACTGATCCAACAGATCTATAGCAATCATCTTCTACCTTACTAAAGTATGCTTAAATAGTTAAAAAGATAATATTAAGTAGAAAGAGGACAAAACAATTATAGTATAACAGCTACATAAAATCTCACTTTTTTGTTAACAGCATTCACTCGTTTTAGCAATGAATCGAACTGTCCATTCACATCACCACAAACAAGAATTTTTAGCGACATTCTTTAGATCCCCAATAACGCAAACTTTAGAAATCTATAAACAGCAAGAATTTATTGTATTTGTGTTCCCTTCAAAAACATTGGAATGTACTCCTACATTTCGTCTAATTATTTATCTTAGGCGTTCAATTAGAAAAAAAAAATTCTAGATTTGGTGGAAGACATACACCACCACTACTATTTGTACAAAATATTGAAAAAAAAAAAAAAAATCTACAGTAAATGTACTGGCGTAAGTAATCAGCGACATATAAAACTCTGAATTTTAAACATTTTTTTCTAAACAAAGGAAATATGTTTTTTACGCAAATTAGAAAATATTATCAAGTCTGAACAATTTGAACGAGTAAAAGATAAATATTAGCATA